TTTTTTTTTTTTTTTTTTTTTTTTTTTTTTTGGCTTTTCCAACAAGTTACTGCACTTTTAAGAGCATCTTCCTGAAACATAGTGGTGTCTACTCCTAGGACATGGTGGGGTATCTCGGGGGCAGAAGAGGTTCTGGGATTGGGGAGCTGTGAGTGAGGACATGTGTGCTATCTGAGTGAAACTTGTAACTCTGCAAAATAAACCACAGTGCTGCGGGGAGTGGGAGGGAAATCCTAAAGCCTAAGGGGAGGGAGGCTGCGAGTGGCTAAAGCCAGCTGAGGCTTTGGCTGTGGTCTGTCCCTGCATATCCTGCTCCATTTCTGATCATATGTATAAGAGAATGTAAGACGTTGCACGTTTCTCATGCTCTGATACTGTTGGGCTAAAGGGCAACTTGGCCGCTGGTGGCTTTGGTGTCTGGTGTGGGAGCTTGAGGCACCCCTGACTCTGTTCAGGTCTCTTGGGCCTTCCCTGTGTAGATGGACTGAGGAGGGTGTTGAGGACCCTTCCTGGGAGGTGGTTGGAGCACCTGTGAAGACCGAATTTCCTGGCCTCTCCTAACTCAACTACGCCTGAGTTAGGCCTTATTGGTGCTTAATTTTGAAGAAGGATTGGCCCAGCCATGCTGTCTTTCAGCTTTCTTCTGGTCTCTCTCCTGGGCAACCCTTTCCACCATGGGAGGCATGCCACATCTTGCCCAGCGGTGCCTCAGTGGACATTTCTGGTTGATTCTGGGGTTCAGTATTCTGGGCTATTGACTTAAAGCCGCGTGACATTTTGGTCTCTGTTTAACTCTTGCTCAGACCCAGTGTGAGGACAAGGGGACATCTCCTTCAGAGCTGGTGAGTTCCCTGTGGCCTTCAGAAGCCTGAGAGGGTAATAATAGAGCCATCAGGGTCTGCAGTAGCCTGTTAGGAGACACCCCCCAGACACTGCTGCTGCCCAACATCCTCTTTCCCTGTGATACTCCTTTTCCCAGAGCTCCAGTTGCTGTCTCGTTGAACTTAACAGAACCCAGTGAATGGCTTCCACCTCAGAAGGCAGAGTCTGGACACACAGTTGCAGTAGTGAATCTTGAACATCCTTCCCTGTTTATATAGAGCTTGTGTTGACTTTTTTTTTTTTTTTTTTGGCTGGCTCAGCCTGCCCTGAGGGTGGGGCTGGTGCAGCATGTGGTGTTGGGAATTGAACTGCAGTCTCCTGCACCTGACTAAGCTTGCCTATGCAGGCGCTTTAGACTACTGAGCTATCTCACTGGCCTGATTTTATTTTCAGTAGCTGACGTGTTTCATGACGTGCTGTCTTAGAGGTCAGTGAACATTCTTTGGAGGGCCAGGTAGTAAATATCTCAAGCTTTCTGGGTGATAATGGTCTTTGTCCCAACTGTACTGCAAAACACCCATGAAAGTGTGCAAGCTGACTGCCTGCCTGGCTCTGTTCCACTGATAACTTTGTTTTTAATGAACTTTGCTGATTTCTGTGCTGTACCAGATTTTTTTTTCCCATTTTCTATCCCCCTTATAACTTTTACGTTGAAAGTCCCCTTTGAATATTAAATTAAAAAAAATTCACTTATTTATTTGGTAGCAGGGCTCAAGCCCAGGTCCCTGTGCTTGCCAGGAAGGTGCTTAGACTGCCGGGCTATCTCCCCAGCCCCGTCCCCTTTGAGTATTGAAATCTTTGCAGACATCACATGGTAATTGTTTTAGTCCTCCAATAATTAGGAAAAAAAGCCATAGTGACAAAAAGTGACTTAGATACATTTGTTAAGGGATGTTTCATCACAGCCAAGAACGATAATGACTTTCAATGTGTAGTCAGTGCCTAATATCTGTCTGTCTATCTATCTTTCTATCTCCTGTCTGTCTCTGCCTGCCTGCCTGCTTGCCTGTCTGTCTGTCTGTCTTTGAATGAGTTACATTACAGGGCCCTCTGGCAGAAATCTGCCGCCCAGTCTGAGGCCACAGGGAGACCCAGTTTGCAGGCCTGCCTGCCTCCTTGTTATATTTTTATGTAACTGATCAGGGCTGCACCCCTGTCTCCCCATTTGGGGAGGCCCAGCCTGCGGAGCTCTTTCCCCTGTAGCCGTTTTGCTCCTTATTCTTGAATGACTCTCCACTCCTGCTGCTCCCCTGTGCCCCACAATACGTTTCTTCCTTTCTGACTTTCTTTTGCTATGCAGTAGTGCACCTGGGGTCCTACTGAACTGTGGGTGGTAAGCCTCCAACTGCTAAGGACCCGAGGGGAGGGGACGGACACCCTGTGCTTAAGGGTGATCTGAGGCATTCCTTTGTAATCTTCCAAGCTAAAAATAGAAGCCCTCCTCAGACTACTGCTTTAACTGTTCTTGCCTCAAGGTGGAGACTGACAGTGATCTTTTCGTAAATTGGAGCCACAGTTCTGTAAAAATGTAAAATGGCTTTCTCTACCCCATGCAGCTGCCTGCTGCCCTGAAGGGTCCACTGAGGGACCATGCAGGCGCCAAAGTAGGAAATTGATCTTAGCTCCTCACTTGGGAAACAGCCGCTGCAGACTCACGTTGGGCAGTGAGCTTTGTCCGCGTGGGGAGGGCATGGCAAGGTCACATGACTTGTTGGCTGACAGCTGAACCTCGGATCTGCTGGACCTCTTGGAAAAGAACTTTCTTTAGAAGACCCAGAAGGACATGGGTGAGCTAAAGGGGACAAGAACATTAGCCGGGGAAGCGGGCTCAGTGGATTTCTCTACAGCCTGCCTGCGTCCTCCACAGCACAGACAAGATGCCAGTGTCCACCCAGAGCAAAGCTGGCATGCCACGTGACCTGCCAGTCCCCCCCCCCCCGGCCTTATACTGTACCCTCTGCTGGCCCCACTCTCCTTTTTGGAGGGTTTTTCTCAGTCTTTACCATAGTTTCCTTAGGTGTTGTTTTTACCTTGGGCTATAAGTTTAAAAAATAAGCAGTAGGATTTAATAAAAAATGTGAAGTTACTACTTTGTGCTCACAGAGGAGGGCTATAGTTCACACAGGAGACAAGTGTTGTCCAAGATGTGGAGAAATTAAAACCTCACACACTGTTGGGTTGGATGTAAAACTGGAGCTGCTTTGGGAAAGAGTTGGGCATTTCCTGAAAGGATGAATATCAAGTTCCCTTTTGACCCCAGTGTCACCCGGTGCATTTTTCTTGGGCTGCGTCTCCCCAAGAGAATTGAAAACATTTACATAAAAACTGTCAGTGAATGCTTATGAGCAGCATTATGCATAAAAGTCAAAAGCCCAAATGTCTACCACGGATGATGGAATAAACACATTGTGGCATATCCATAAATGGAATACTATACAGCCATAGAAAGGAGTGAGGCCCTGATATACGGTACAGCGTGGATGAACTTTAAAAACATTCCAAGTGGAAGAATCTAGTCACAGAAGGCGAAGGATAACTTCATTCATGTGATGTCCGGCTAAGCCTCATCTTCAGTAGAAAGTGTAGCAGGGATTGCGTAGGGGAGTTGTGGGGTGCAGTGATGAGTGGAGGGTGACAGCCATAGAGCACAGCACTTCTCGTGGAGTTTCTGAAAGTGATGAATGTGTTCTAAAATTGACTGATGTGATGACCCCTCTGTACAACTACTAAGACCCACCCAGTTGTACCCTTCAGTGTGTGGACTTTCTGGCGTGTGAACTTCAGTAAAGCTGTTAAAAAGTAAGGTTACTGTCTAACCACGAGAATCGTATCCCTCTTCTTCAGAAAGGTTGAAAATGGTTTCCCACAGGCAGGTTCTGAGTTTGGCAATGGTGGTGAAGCCCTGGCAATGTCAGGCTGAAACCCCACTCCTTTTAATTCTGGTAATGATTCGCTGAAGTAAATCTTTGGTTTTGTAAGTGTGCAAAGGGGCTTGGAGAGGTGGGCTCTTGCTGAGCGTCAGGGCCAGGACTCAGCCCCTGCTGCCGGCGCCCTGCGCTGCAGAAAGCACTCGTGAGGTGCCCTTGGGCTCAGGCGGGCACCACGCTCTGTGTGAAGTCAGCGTGTGGTAGGATTGACTGGCTTGAGAAGAAAGCACTGGCAGGGCTGTGGTGGTCCTGTCTCCTGAGAGGTCCTCTCTTGCCTGCAGTCCTGGTCTGTTTTTGATAAGCAGAGAAAATCATGAGTACATTGGAGCCCATTTCCAAAAAATGACAGCCCACTTTCCAAGGGACCTGCTAGGGACATTTTGTAGAAGATAGCGTTTTGTAGGCTCAGAGTGGCAAAGGGCGAGTGCAGAGCTGCGTGCGGTTTCCTGGTACAGGCAGTTGGAGCCTGTACTGAGACCATGTCGTGATTGGAAGCAGCCAGACAGCATGACCCATGCAGGCCCCCTGAGGAAGAACCTCTGGGAGTGGGCCCAGGAATGTGGGTGCCAGAGGGGACCGCAAGGGACTTAAGTCCATGCTAAGTTTGCAAATGACAAATGTAGCAGGTCCAAAGAAGGAGCCCCATGAGTTCTGTGGGGGCTTTTGGGCTCTTGGTAGCGTTAGCTGCTCCTTTTAATGTGTTGAGCATTGGGGATAGGAGTGACATGGCTCAGATTTCCTCATTTTGTAGTAGAAGCCTAGAGAGGCCGAGAAGCATGTTCTGGGGCTGTGGAATTAGGAGCAGAACTCCCTTCCCCCATCCTGTTTGCCCTCTCCTGCGTATTTGCCCCAGACTAAATCCACACCCTCCCTAAGGGTTCGAGCTCAAATGCTTTTATTCTACTGAAGAGCCAGAAACTTCCAGCAGGATTGGTGTGGGGGAGAAGGGACCAATGGCTCCGAGTCCTCCCTGTGTGACACATTTATGTCCATTTTCCTTGTTTAAATTTCCTAAGAGCTTCGTGAGCAAGTGTTGCATCTGATCAGACAGGAAGACACCAAGGCGCTGAGGGGTCAAGTGGC